GAGAATTAGGAAGGGGGGGGGGAGTGCATATCCAGGAGGGCAACATACTACACAAGAACACAAGAATGAAAGAAACAGCAGCGGTCCTATTGGCCCATACTGGGCAGTCCCATTTACACCCAACCCCTATCGCTCCTATATCCATCCAACCTATATTTCAAGCTAACCAGTGTATTCGAGTTAATGATGATGTTTGGTAACATGTTCCACTCATCCACTACTCTATTTACAAACTAGCGTTTACCTATCTCGTACCTAAATCTAAATTTGTTTAATTTAAAACCATTGCAACGAGTTCGCTCCTGGTTGGATAATTTGAGTCCCTTTCTTATATCACATTTGTTTAGCCCTGACTTCCATTTATACACCTCGATCATAACGTTCCTCACTCTACATCTCTCGAGGGAGTGCAAATTAAGATGTTTTAACCTGTCTCTGTACTCAAGGTTCCTAATGCCCGGGATTAATCTTGTCATTCTTCTCTGAATTCTTTCCTAGGATTCTATGTCCATTCTGTTATACTGTTACCAGAACTGTACCGTGTAACCCAAGTGTGGCCCCACAAGCGCAAGATATAGTTTTAGTATAACCTCACTAGTCTTGTAACTAACACTCCTTTGTATGAACCCAAGTACTTTGTTAGCCTTATTTCGAGCAAATACACATTGTTGTCTTAGTACAAGATTCCTACTTATCATTAATCCTAAGTCTTTCTCACAGTTGGATTTCTCGATAACAAAGTTGGTCATCTAATATCTGGTTTCTCTGTTTACATCTCCTAGACTAAGTACTTTACATTTGTCCACATTAAATTTCATCTGCTACTTTTCAGACCCCGAAAAATTTGTATTAGATCTTTTTTGTAGTTTTGCTGAGTTCTCTTCAGATTTAATTACACGCCCTATTTTAGTGTCGTCAGCAAATTTACTTATGTTGCTTTCTATGCCTATATCTGTATGTATATTATGGATGCTGTATGTATATTATGTATGTATATTATGTATGTGCTCCATTTATATACATTATTTATCCAGCCTAGCTAGCAGCGTGTGACAATGTATTTATCATGTCCCACACACTTAATTAATGTGCCTGGCGACATATGGAAGCTGCTAATGTATCACTTGCCACATGTCGCCCGAAAGGCTAGTTGACCCCCCAGACAGAGTAAGGAGAGCCGCCTCGCTTGTGTATCTCTGTTTATCCAGTAAATAGAACCTACGAAAACTCTACAGGTGTTTGTGTTCGCTACTGTAGATAGAACTTGATACCCAGAACATATACAATATCTATGTCGCTTATGGATATAATAAATAGTACTGGTCCAAGCACTGAACCTTGGGGTACTCCACTAGTTCCGTTACCCCAATCGGATTTAGTTCAATTAATGCTTAATCTCTATTTCCTGTCCTGCAACCATGCCCTAATCCATTCTAGAGTATCTTCTCCAATTCCACGAGCCTCCACTTTTCGTATTAGTCTTTCGTGGGGGACTCTGTCGAGGTATATCACATCATAATCGGGTTCGTCATCCACTAATTCTCTAAGTAATTTCAAATAGAGTTTTAAATTATTATTTACATCAATTTGCCTACAAATTGGGCGCTCGTTGATTCACACACCCTGCTGAATGTGTACCGAGCAGCTGGGATCTGCTCAGGAAAGTCTCTGGACACCACGCCTAATTCCTTGCAGTGCTCCCACGACAACAAGGGTGTAGCGAGAGTAGGCTGCACGTCCATCCATCCGTGACACGACCTGTCGCCGTAGGTGATCTCTGCTTGAAAGGAGCCCACAGAGTCCGGCGTCAGGGAACCGTCCGCATTGTAGTACAGCAGCTGCGGCAGTGGTCCCAGGTCGCGTTTGGTGAGGCCCAGTTTCTGGAGGTGCTTCAGGCCTATGACCGTAGTATCAGCGCCGGTGTCCGGTATCACCTCGATGTGACCCGACACATCACCATGTGTGACGGCGACGCGGATGGTAGGGGAAGGGGTAGCCCTGGGGCGTGTGGTCGATTCCACCCTCCTGATGTGACTCAGCTGCTGCTTGGGGCTACGTGGGCCATCTGAAGGGGGCTGCGTGTGAACCACCCCGAGGGAAGTGCGCTGCTTTCCTCCTCGTCTCGGGCTTTTGGGCTTGGGCTGGCGGCAGCACTTGTCGTAGTGTCCTTAGCGACCGCAGGCCTGACACTTGCGGCCTCGTGCAGGGCACCTGTCTGTGTTAGACCAGTGGCCCTTATGGTCACATCCACGACACAGTGCGTCGGCGGCCGGGCATGTTTTGGGGCCATGCTGCTTTCCACAGCTGCCACAGGAAGCACTAGGCGGAGGTGTGGAAGAACGTGCGGCAGCCTTCACGTTGTTGGCCGCCTTCTTACCCTTCTTGTACTGTGAAATAGCTCTCACAGCAGGTGGGGCCCGTAAGGCAGAGGTGGCGGACTTGGTGGCCTAGTATGACCGACATTCAGTCACTACCACCTGGAGTGTGGAGGAAGCGTCCAGGGGGATGAGTCGCTGCACCACCGCTTCTTGCCTGACACCTGTCAAAATCCCGTGCACCTTGCAGACGTCGATCTCCTCCGACAAACACTTCAAACGTACAAAAAAGCCGTCAAAGGATTCATTCTCCGCCTGCTTGCAGCTGGCAAAGGCGCGGCGACGCAAAGCCTCGTTATTCCGACCCTTAACTTGCTCATGCAAAAGGTCGAGCACATCCGTCACTGAAGACGTAGACTCGGGAGGCACTTGCAACGTGTGCTCCAAAACTCTCTGGGTCTCCAGTGACAAACACATCCGCAGTTGGATGAGCTGTTGGTTGGAGGCATGCTATCAAGGTCCACCATCGTGGAGTAATCTGTCCACCGCCGCCTCCACTCACGAAAAAGCTGAAACGTGACATCTGGTGAGTGGGCGGGTGGGGGTTGAACAGATGCCTTGGGAGCTGTTGGAGTAGCAAGAGTGCCTGGAGGACGCTGGTGTGGTGGAGGAGGGAGGGTACTGGCGCCTTGGTGCACGATACCTGCGAGTGAGGGAGGGTGGGTTAGCGCCAGGGTCGCCAATAGTGCATCAAAATGCACCTTTTCCTCCTCTCTTCGTATCTCCTCCCTCTGAAATTCCATCTCTCTGCGTCTCTCGTCCCTGTCGTCCATCCACCTTAGAATTGTGGCAATGTCCGTCGCTGGAGGTGGAGGATGAGAGTCTGCGCCCGGTGGAGGGGATGGTGGTGGGGAGTCGTGTCTCCCATCTTGATGTTGTCCCTTCTTACCGCCCATCTTAGTATGCTTGAACTGCGCTGTTTAGTATATAAAGTGGTGCCTCATCAGCTCGAACCACATATATATGACATAAACAGCGCAGAAATAACGCATAGAGTCCAATGTTCTGTGCATGCGTGCGTGTGTGTGTGTGTGTGTGTGTGTGTGTGTCTGAGACAGCAGATGCGGGTGAGAACGTTAGTGTCTCCCCGGATGTCACACAAGGAGGGTGCACGCCTGTGTCCTCCGTGGGTACAACAAAAAACAGGCTAATGCTCAACTCTCAGCTCTAGACACACTAATACAATGACACTAACACTGCCACCGTCACTAAAACGCACTGTGACGGTGCAACACTGCACGTCACGGCGAAACACAACGCAACACAACACACTATTCGATGCGCACATTGCCGGCAGTCGTAACGGTCTCGGCGTTGTTCACAACACTTGTAAGTCCGCAGATCCTACTCACTGCGCCATGAAGGTTCCAAGTGTTCCCTGAAGAAGGCAGTGATGGGTAGGGAAACACCGGGTAACACTGAAGTCCATTTATTAACGGATAGGAGAAATACAAGTGGTGACTAGCATGTCCCATGCACGGCCCACAGAGTCAGACTGAGACTGCCTTGCCATATGGCAGCCTCGGGGCAATGTTGCCACATAACACGTGCAGTGTTGCCACGTAATTATATACATAGATGCTACTCGGCACAGTAGCTTATATACAAGGTTGCTACTCGGCACAGTAGCTTAGATACATAACCTACAGCCTACTATGCATATTTTGCTATGTCTGGATGCCCTGCGCATTTCATCCCGAATAAGTTGCTCATTAACTCTATCAAAATTTGGTCTATATATTACTCCTATGATTAATTTTTCCCTGCCATTGGTTAATTCTATCTAAATTTCATCTGTAATCAGTTAAGTTTTTATTTCCCTATTGATTTAACACTCCAGATTATCCCTGACATACTCGTAGATTGCTACCCTGCCTCCTTTCCTAATTTGCCTATCAGTATGGAATAATTTACAACCTTTAATTTGGTATTCGACAAGTAACTCACGTGAGTATAAGTTTATCCACGTTCGGAGAATGCTATTAAATCGATTTTTCCGGTATGTACCAACTCCCTGATTTCATCCATTAAATTTCTCACACTTTTACTGTTTTCGGAGTAAACATTTAAGTTAGTCGTGATCTGTGTCCTCTGTTTGTTGCGTTAAGGTTTTAACTCCCTGCCTAATTTAGGTTTGTCATCATTCCTAGCACTATTTCTTTGTAACCTTTCACTTTCTTTACCCACGCACACTGCATTCTCCTTGATCCCCATGCTCACACGTTTCCCTAGTAGTTTAAAGATTCCCATCCCTAGCATAAAGGTCCCTTCTGTCGTAAAAGTTGTCTCAGTTCTCACTGAATGGGACTGATACTAACTTGCATTATCTGTCAAAACGGCGTTGACACCAACTACCTTTGACAACCAATCATTGCCAATTCTTCTTCTTGGCAGGACAGCACATATGATAGCGATCCCTCCCGTCACCCTAATACAGTGCATAGCTGACTTGAACTTATCAAGAAACCCCTCACTTCTACACCGGCCAATACCATTGCCTCCTGCACTGAGGCAAATAATGGATATCTTCCATAACCCAGCTCCTGGCAAACACACAACTATAATCAGTAGAGCGTGTCTTCATGAATTCGTTGGTAAACTAAGAATACACCATGCGAGAGAGTGATGTTCAACCGATCACTAGTGTCTACCACGGCAACAGTGATCACCACGCCGCCAGTGTTCACCAGTCCACCTCGCCGCCAGTGTTCACCAGGCCACCACGCCACCAATGTTCACCAGGCCACCTTGCCGTCAGCGTTCACAAGGCCACCTTGTCGTCATAAGAACATAAGAACATAAGAAAATAAGGAGTCTGCAATAGGCCGGTTGGCCTGTGCATGGCAGCTCCTGTCGAGAGTTACTACCACTCTCTAACATCCATGAATCTATCCTGTCTCCTTTTGAAACTTTCCAGCGATCCAGCACTTACTACATAGTTGCTAAGCTTGTTCCACTCGTCCACCACCCTATTTGTGAACCAGTTCCTTCCTATCTCCCTCCTATACCTAAGCTTATCCAACTTAAATCGGTTGCTTCGAATCCTATCCTGCTCGGATATTATAAGAACTTTATCTATATCCCGCTTATTGATTCCTTTCACCCACATAAATACTTCTATCATATCTCCCCGCACTCTTCGTCTTTCTAGGGAATGCAAGTTTAGTTTCTTTAACCTATCCTGATATGGAAGGTTTCTAAGTCCCGGAATCATTTTCGTCATTCTTCGCTGCACCGACTCTAGCGAATTGATATCCATTCTATAATAAGGGGATCAGAACTGAACCGCATAATCGAGGTGCGGCCTGACTAGCGCAAAATATAGTTGCAATAAGACCTCTGCACTCTTGTTACTTACACTTCTAGATATAAAACCCAATACTCTGTTTGCCTTATTTCGAACATTAACGCACTGTTTTCTAGGCCGAAGGTCCGGGCTTACAAGTACCCCTAGGTCTCTTTCGCAAGTCGACTTCTCTAGGTTGATGTTGTTAAGGCTGTATACATTATAAGTATTTGTTCTTCCAATATTAAGTACGCTGCACTTGCTGGTGTTGAATTTCATTTGCCATTTCTCAGACCACCCCTGCAGTTAATAATTAGATCCTCCTGTAATGCATTTGCATCCTGCCCTGAATTAATTTGTCGCCCTATTTTGGTGTCATCCGCAAACTTGCTTATGTCACTGCTGATCCCAGCATCTAGATCGTTTATGTAGATTATGAACAAGAGTGGGCCTAGTACTGACCCCTGGGGAACCCCACTGGTTACACGGCCCCACTCAGATTTAACACCATCTACGCTGACCCTCTGCGGTCTATCGGTGAGCCATGATTTTATCCAATTTAAAACTTTCCCCTCGATACCATGAGCCTTAATTTTTCTCAGAAGCCTCTGATGCGGTACTCTGTCAAATGCTTTGCTAAAGTCTAAGTAAATAACATCGTAATTTTCGTCATAATCTACTACCTCGAAGACTTTCCTAAAAAACGTCAGCAGATTTGTTAGACAAGATTGTCCCTTTGTAAACCCATGTTGAGAGTCGTAGATAAATTTGCTTTTGTCTAAATGCGATCGGATGCTATTTGCCACCAAGCCGCCAGTGCTCACCAGGCCACCAAGCCGCCAGTGTTCACCAGGCCACCAAGCCGCTAGTGTTCACCAGGCCACCAAGCCGCCAGTGTTCACCAGCCACCGCCGTCAGTGTTCACCAGGCCACCAAGCCGCCAGTGTTCACCAGGCCACCACGCCACCCGCCCAGTGTTCGCCAGGGCACCACGCCGCCAGCGTTCACCAGGCCACCCTTTTGCCGTCAGTGTTCACCAGGCCACCTTGTCAGTGTTAAAAAGGCCACCAAGCTATCAGTGTTCACCAGGCCACCACGCCGCCAGCGTTCACTGCCACCTTGCCGCCAGTATTGCCAGGCCACCACCGCCAGTGTTCACCAACCTGCCGTCAGTGTTCAGGCCACTTCGCCGCCAGCGTTCACCAAGCCACCTTGCCGCCAGTGTTCACCAGGCCACCTGCGCTGCCAGTGTTCACCAGGCCACCTTGCCGTCAGTGTTCACCAGACCACCACACCGCCAGCGTTCACCAAGCCGCCTTGTCAGTGTTCACCAGGCCACCACGCCGCCAGCGTTCACAGGGCCATTCCCTCACCGCCAATGTTCACCAGGCCACCACTCCACCAGTGTTCACAAGGCCACCAGGCCACCACGCCGCCAGCGTTCACCAGGCCACCATGCCACCAGTGTTCACCAGGCCACCATGCCGCCACGTTCTGCCAGGCCACCGACGCCGCCACGCCCAGGCCTCGCCGTCAGTGTTCACTCAGGCCACCACGCCACCAGTGTTCACCAGGTCACCATGTCGCCACTGTTCACCAGGCCACCACGCCGCCAGCGTTCACCAGGCCACCCTGCCGTCAGTGTTCACCAGGCCACCCACACCGTCAGCGTTCACCAGGCCACCTTGCCGTCAGTGTTCACCACGCCGCCAATATTCACCAGGCCACCACGCCGCCAGCGTTCACCAGGCCATTCGCCGTCAGTGTTCACCAGGCCACCTTGCCGTCAGTGTTCACCAGGCCACCACGTCGCCAGCGTTCACCAGGCCACCACACCGCCAGCGTTCATCAAGCCACCTTGCCGTCAGTGTTCACCAGGCCACCACACCGCCAGTGTTCACCAGGCCACCACGCCGCCAGTGTTCACCAGGCCACCATGACGCCAGTGTTCACCAGCCACCATGCCGCCAATGTTCACCAGGCCACCACGCCGCCAGCGATCACCAAGCCACCTTGCCGCCAGTGTTCACCAGGCCACCACCGCCAGTGTTCATAAGGCCACCTCACCACCAGTGATCACCAGGGTCAATTGCCGCCAGTGTTCACAAGGCCGCGTCACCGCCAGTGTTCACCAGGCCACGTCACCGATAGTGTTCACCAGGCCACCGCCGCCAGTGTTCTCAAGGCCACCTTGCCGCCAGTGTTCACCAGGCCACCAAGCCACCAGTGTTCACCAGGCCCTCACCGCCAGTGTTCACCTCTGCCCCGGGCCGCCAGGCTGCCAGTGTTCATAAAGCCACCTTTGCCGTCAGTGTTCACCAAGCCGCCAGTGTTCACAAGGCCACGCCCACCCCTGTGTTCACCAGTGCCACCTCGCCGCCAGTGTTCACCAGGCCACCATGCCGACAGCCTTCACCAGGCCACCTCGCAGCCAGTGTTCACCAGGCGACCACGCTACCAATGTTCACCAGGCCACCACGTCTCCAGCGTTCACCAGGCCACCACGCCGCCAGTGTTCACAAGGCCACCTTACCGCCAGTGTTCACCAGGTCACCAAGCCGCCAGTGTTCACAAGGCCACCTTGCCGTCAGTGTTCCCAAGGCCACCTCACTGCCAGTGTTCACAAGGCCACCTTGCCGTCAGTGTTCACAAGGCCACCTCACCGCCAGTACTGTTCATGTTCAGGTGAGTACAATGGACACGTCCATCACGGTCCAACCAACACTGGCTCCGTAAAAGCCTAGCTTGGACACAGTCTTTCTGGCAGCGTTTCATAACTCCCCTGATAACGTATTCATAGTCGGTCATGTTTCCATCAGCCCTCCACCAGTGACAATCAACCCGCCATATTGTCTACTCTTATTTTTTTTTTCTGCTGCATTTTCTTTAATATTTTTCCAACTCGATCAAAACATTTGTGATGGTGAAACTTATTTTGTTTTACTCCCGCCTTAATGTAACTGTGGAATAATTTTTTCCAATAAAATATCCGATTTTTTCTTTCGTTTTAATAAATCGGGTAAAGATTTTATTATGGAAGATGAAAGTATGTTGTTTTTCATTGTGTAGTAAAAGGTTTTTATTTTTCTGGGGCATATGTAACGAATTTTTGGATCACCTCTATTATTTTTGTTTATTAAATTAATTTCTGTAAACTAATCTTTATATGTATATGTTATGATTAATAAAATAAATCTTTATAGCTTAAAATATTCTATTTGTTTTATACTCATTTTATTTATTTATTATTATTATTATTATTATTATTATTTACTTATTAATAGTACGACAATTTAGCATTATTACATGTACTGTACCTGTTGAACTGTCCAGCTCTTATATGTTGCACCTGTAATATAGTCCAGCTGTTATATAGTTCAGTCGTTATGTCATCCTACTGTTATATCAGGCCGCTATTATATTACATAGTCAAGCTGCTATATGGTCCACAATTGTTATATGATCCATCCGTTATAATGTACTATTGTTATATTGTCCGGCTGCTATTTCGCCCAGCTCTTATATGGCCCAGCTGTTATGCATTCCAGCTGTTATTTCGCCCAGCTCTTATGTGACCCAGCTGTTATACTGTACAGTCCAGCTGTTATTTCGCCCAGCTCTTATATGGCCCAGCTGTTATACAGTCCAGCTGTTGTTTCCCTCATCTCTTATATGGCCCAGTTGCTATATAGTCCAGCTGTTATTTCGTCTAGCTCTTATGTGGCCCAGCTGTTATACTGTCCAGCTGTTATTTCCTACAGCGCTTGTATGGCGCAGTTGTTATATACAGTGGTCCAGCTGTTATTTCGCCCAGCAGTTATATGGACTAGCTGTTATATAGCCCAACTGTTATTTCGCCCAGTTCTTATATGGGCCAGTTGTTATATAGTCCAGCTGTTATTTCGCCCAGCTGTTATGTAGTCCAGATGTTATATAGTCCAGGTCCCATAGGTGCAGTAAACCGGCTTGATTCATGACGCCTACATTAGCCAGACACTGCTGGACTTACCCTTACTGCTCCCACTCATCTACCCAGTTCATCAACTTCCCCTCTCCTTGAGTGGAAAAGGAGAGGGAGGATGCTGGGAGATTGTGAGGACAGTGAGTGGAGTCATAAAATACCTAGAGTGAGAGTGAGATGGAGAGTTTAAGAGTTCTTATGGAGTGGGGATGAGAGGGAGAATGAAAGAAGTATTATTGGAGGGGGTACAAGTACAAGTAGGAGGAATTAGACAAGCTGTTGTATATATTTATTATAAAATAAATATATATATATATATATATATATATATATATATATATATATATATATATATATATATATATATATATATATATATATATATATATATATATATATATATATATATATATATATGTGTGTGTGTGTGTGTGTCACATACAGGCAATTGAAAAGTTTCACCAGCGTAGTCTACGTTCCATTCTCCGAGTTCGCTGGGAAGAGAAGAGAACAAATGCCAGCATTCCCGCTGACACCAACTGTAGAAGCAAAGAGGTTACCATTATTTATGAACAACTGAGTTGGATTGGCCATGTTACCCGCATGGACGACAGCATACTGCCAAAGCAACTACTTTACAGTCACCTAACGAATGGTAAACATAACGCTGGCGGACAACGGAAACGGTATAGAGACAGTCTTAAGACAAATCTGAAAAAGTGCCAAATCGACCGCCTCACTTGGGAGACGATTACTCCACACCGCAACGCTTGGAGGGGCACTACAGTGTCATCCACCTGTGGGCTTCCTGAGTGGATATTGGTGATAGCTAATGGAGAGCCGGGGACTGTATAGCAGATGGCGCTGGTGTTGGTCAGTGCCACGTAGGCCTTGGCCTGTAACCCGAGCTGCTCATAGGTAACGGTCCTGCTCGCCCTGTGCCCAGCCTTTTTTTTTTTTTTTTGAAGAGAAAGTAGGGGTGAAAGAAGATTAGAGGTGGGGGAAGGAAGTTATAGTACGGAAATTGAAGAAATTTTGGAGGAGGTAAGAGAGGACGGGCTGACCACCTAGCTAAGCTAATAGTGTGTTAGGGTTGTGTCAAGGGTTAGTTATTGTCTGTCGGTACAGGCACTAGACATCCTACCCTGTCCCATATATGGGTGTTTTAAGGGCCTTATTTCATATTCCGCCGACCCTACTGGCGGATGCTGATCTAGGGAGGTTGTCTATTGCCTGGCCATGTAGATCAGAGGTGGTAATGGACCTTTTGAGATTTGGTAACTTTTGGGAACCATGTATGGTTGTTATCGTTATCTGGTGGGAGTCTTTGAAGGAGTTCTTGCTCTGATCGTTCTATCTTTTGCCAGATTATGCTGGACAGGGTGTGTAGCTGCTTGTTGATGGGTTTTATTCTCAGGTCTCTATGTATCTCGGCTGTGGTTCTGGTGAAAGGGTATCTTTCACCTGTGACGAATCTTAGAGCTTCATTTTGGACCTCCTGTAATTTTAATATATGAGTGGTGCTCATAGTATGAAGAGGTACTGCTGGGTAAGTTAATATCGGTGTGATAAATGATGTCACCAGGCGGAGTTTTATTTTCTCAGGAAGCGCTTTAAGGCGGTATAGTTTTCTCAGCTCTCTTCTTTCCTTTTCCTTCCTGGTGTGGACTTGATGGGAGTAACCTGTCTTGGATATATGCAGGCCCAGGAGGGTTTTCCTTCTGCATAAGGGGTATCACTGTGAATTTCGGGAGACTGGCTTGGATTTTCCATTGTTTTTCGTAATTATTTACCCTTTCTAATTCCCGCCTGGTGTTGTCGGCCTGTAACGCTCGCGATATTCCTTGATGTGTTGTTATTTGAGTGATGTCATCTCCATACATAATATCTTCGTTACCTATTCTAGTGGGAGGCGGGGTGTCACTTGTGTAGATAATATATAGGGTGGGGGAGAGGACGCTCCCCTGAGGGACTCCGCTCATGAGTGGAAAGGTCTCTCCTGTGTGTTGTCCTACCCTCAGTGTGGCATTTCTGCCGTCAAGAAAGTTGCAAGGCAACTTTTCAATGTTGGTGAGAAGTCCGAGTTGGAGGATCTTACATTTTAGACCGTCATGCCAGACTTTGTCAAATGACTTCGCTACATCCCGGAGAATTAGATTACATTGTCTACCACTCGCCGCGGCTATGTTTTCACATGCCCTGAACCCGCCCCGCCCCGACACAGGCCCCGCCCTGCCCCGCCCATGCCCCGCCCCGCCCCGCCCCGCCACGTCGGTCAGTACACCAAAACTGACCTGCCCCTCCTCCCCTCCCAAACCACAACTTCCTACCTCCCCCACTGCCCTCTACTTCTTAGGTCAACATCATGGCTGGGAAATGTGCTTGTCAGTGCTCAGGCCGGAATCAGAAATGCACACCTTGTATTTGTGTGAGAAGTAACACACGCTGTGTGGGTTGTAGGAAAGGGACCAACTGTCAAAATCCATACGGCAGAGATTCATCACCTGACTACATGTCAGACGATAGTGGTGAACACACTCAGTCGGAAAATACTGTTCATGAGGTAAATGACATATAGTCAACAAATTGGAAAGGCATGTCGGGGGACGATGCTGTGAAATACGTCAAAGATGTCCACTCAGAAGTGGTCAGGTGGTCGCCAGCTAACCTCTTTGGACCACCCAAGTGCGCGGGTACCAAAGAAATAATCCGGGAAATGACTCGCCTCATAATCAATTACACTCATGCCAGCGCCCTGGCCCCATTACTCTTCAAATACTGGTCATAGTACCCCATCTATTCTGTCAGAGGAGACACGCAAGGTCTAAGTGCAAAGAAAACGTGTCAGCAATTAAAAGGGGATTGACAATGTGGCAGAAAGGGGCCACTGAAGATCTCCTATTCGAAGCAAGAACACTGCAGGAGAGTCTAAAATTCATAGGAGACGGCAAGAAAAAAACTGAGGAAATGGCCAGAAAATTTAGTCATAAGATGCGTAAAGGAAAAGTGTCCTTGGCGGTAAAATCGCTCAAAAAGGAAATTTCCGATGGTGTTCTGCCAATAAACAGAGAGACATTACCACAACTGAAGGAAAAACATCCCCTTGCAAGTGAAGAGGAAGACATCAGGTTACAGGGAGCCTATATCCCTCCTAATGCTGTCCTGTTCGAGAAAATAACAGGAGGGATGGTGTGGAAAAAAGCCCTGAAAACTCAAGGAGGGGCTGGCCCTTTCGGCCTGGATGCAAACGCTTAGAGAGTCATCCTCAGCACTAACAAATTTGGTGCCGTAGCACTTGATCTCTGCAATGCCATCGCCGCCCTTGCAAGAAAACAAGCAGCCTCGTGCTGCCACCACCTCCATACTCTGATGGCCTGCCGCTTCATTCCTCTGGATATAAATTCAGGATGCAGGCCTATAGGAGTGGAGGAAGTGATGAGGCGGATCATTGGAAAATGCATAACAGAGGTGGTAAATGATGATGTCAGGGAAGCTGCAGGGAACTTGCAAGTATGTGCTGGCCACCAGGCTGGGGGTGAAGCTGCTATTTACGCCATGAGAAAGATGTTTGAGCAGAACTTCTGGTCGACGCTTCCAACGCATTCAACATAATCAACCGCAAGGCTACACTACACAACATCTAGATCAAGTGTCCAAACTTTGCCATGTATGTTGAAAACACCTAGGAACCCATCAGAACTCTATATAACAAGCTTCAAGGCCC